CGAATCCTAAACTTGTTAATCAAATATTCTTAAGTAATTCCTTTTGATTATTAACTCCAGAAAAAATGTTTTTCTATCAACTATTTTATCTCGTTTTCCATCACAATTATTCTAAAGCACATTGAATAAGTAATAAATAAAATAAATATACTCAAGGAAATAGACATGGGTTTAAAATTGAAAATCATTGCGGTCTTCTCCCCTGATCCCGACAGTGAGCCATGATAAATTCATCCATTACTTCTTATCTCCGAATCCCTTGTATCAATCTATTGTGTTAAATAAATTTGGACTTAGCACTGGGCCCATAACCTGTTAGATCTATAATCTTGGATCTAAAACTGTATTTCTAACAAGTAACCCACAAAATTTCCCTAATTACTAATTAGTAGTTAGTTATTACACACTATGTAATACGTACATACAAAGATACAAGGTATTTTATTAAACGTAAAATAAATTTATGTAAATTACATAAAAAATCAATTTACATTCTTTATATACTCTACGGTGTATTTTAATTCGATGACAGCGATCCGGGAATTAATGTACAAATACTTACACTACTTCCACACTTTTGAGTGTCAGCATCAGAATCACATGCATAACATACTGATATTAATACCGCGGAAGAGTAAGGAAATGCGTAACCGCATTCTCTTAATACCGTTCTCGGGTATGGGCCGCCCCCGCAACAATGTAAAATATATATAAGCTTTGACATGCAAATTGCCCGACAATGAATTTCGTAAAACCTTTTATCATCGAAGGGAGAGGAAACAGCGAGTCAGCCCCTTAGTTGGGAAGGGTGATGTACGAAGGGCGGGTAAGTGTATGAGAATGTGGCCGCAAGACATAACACGGCACACGGCACACTTGGGTATCAAGAATAAAATTAAGTAAGAGTTAGAGTAGAAGGAAAGAGGAAAGGCTGAAAGCAAAATGACGTCGTATTAATCACTGTCTGAGGAAGGTAATTAAGTTCGGGAATCTTAGATGAATTTTGCCAATCTGTTTAATTTCAATTAATCAACATCAGTTTTCAAGATCCATTAAGTATCATTTTCAATGCTATGAATTTCACAGAGAAATTTTACCTGTTTTTAATGATTAGTTCTTTTATACAATCTCAAGTACATTGAAAAAAAAAATTTTTTTTCCATATTTTTATCCAAGTTCTTTTATATCCAATATATGTTTCTTAATATAAAAAAACTGGAATTTTTCATTTGTTTATATTATTGAAAAGTTGTGCTGATTTATAATTTATTGAAAAATTACCTAGCTATATTACAATTAATATCATAATTTGGATGGACCCTTGGGTACGAAAAAAGTTGCTCGAATGGGATTTACGTAATTAAAAATTCAATTTCTTCGACGATTTAATTAATAATTAATTTAATTTTTTTTTAATTGAATTATTATGATTAATTAAAAGTTCTTAAATTTAATCTATATTATTAAAAGAATAAGAAAAATTTTGTTTTCAGGATAGTCATATGATAAAATCGGTTTTTTTAGTAAAATTTAGTATCATTGCAAAGGTCTTGACTTGAATTTGTGCCTTTTCAAGGTATCATTTCATTTTCACCGATAGTTTATTTATTATGATAAGTATTCAGACTGCATTCGAAAATGCTCTATCTCTGGGTACAAAATTAAGAAATAAACTTTTATCTTGTGAAATATTGACATTTTTAAAGATATAAGCTTATCCCGATGTTACACTCATCGAGACCTTTCATTTGAGTACCCACATCAATTTTTCATATATTTTATATATTTATATATATATGAATATATGAAAAATATGTCAAAATGCATGTGGGTACTCAAATGAAAGATCTTGATGAGTGTAACATCGGGATGAGCTTATATCTTTAAAAACTTCAATATTTAAGAAAGTACAGTGCAATTTAACAAATATCTTGGGAAATATTGACATTTTTAAAGATATAAGCTCACCCCGACATTACACTCATCGAGAACTTTCATTTGAGTACCCACATCAATTTTTCATATATTTTATATATTCATATATATGAATATATGAAAAGTATATCAAAATGCATGTAGGTACTCAAATGAAAGCTCTTGATGAGTATAACATAGGGATGAGCTTATATCTTTAAAAACGTCAATATTTAAGAAAGTACAGTGCAATTTTACAAAAGTCATTATTTAATAATAATGAAAATTATCAGGAACTTGGACCATAAAAAAATAACTCAGTGTTAGATTTTTAAATGTTGCAACATTTAAAAATCTAACACTGAGTTATTTTTTTATGGTCCAAGTTCCTGATAATTTTCATTATTATTTATAAATTATGGATGATAACAGAAGTCATAAGTCATTATTTAATAAAGCAAAATTTTAATTTTTTTTAGTTCACAAGTCACGGAAGTCACACAGTGATTGCAAAGTTGCTAGTTATATAATTAATTTGATTTTTCTTAATCTAATCATCTACTATACTAATAAATGGAGAGTCGGTTTTTTTGTCCGGTTATACTGCGAAAACTATACTGAACCGTTCGGAATAATACTAATACCATAAGATGCGGCATGTTTCGGAGAAGGTTTTAGTATATGATATGTGTTAGTGGTTACTTATCCGGAACCTATATTTTTTTGACTTAGAAATAATGAATTTTTATTGGTTATGCTTACATACTAGGCAGATTTCTTCATTTATGAGACCTGCAGTTTCTTTAACTGAAACTTTCAATGCTCATTACAAATTTTTTTTTTTTTATATCAATTATTATTAATTTTTGTAAGAAAGACACGGGAATATTATAATGATTTCACATTGAAAGTTACAATGAATATTAGCTAGAATAATTACATGGATAAAAGGTGCAAGCCAATTCGATAGAAGTCAAAACAATACTCTGATTAAATTTCAAGTCTATATCTAAAAATTAATTCTATTTAATTAATTAATTACTAAATTAATTATTACAGATTTTATAAGAATTATATTGTCTAATGTAATATTTACATTGAAAGCTCTGAAAATTAACATTCAAGGTTTGAATTTAGAAAAATGTCATTTATTCGAACTGTAATTTTTCTATCTTTGAATCCGACGGGAGACTAATTATTATTTATAATGTAATTTTTCTAGTTATCTTTTTCCACACTGTTAAAAATTTCTATTGTAATTTTACAAGAAATGTATTGGAAGCTAATAGGCAAAACATTTATTTAAAATTACAATCGGCGGGTATAGTAAAATTACAAAACATATATAGCTCAGTGAGGTTACTAATTTTACAAAACGGTTTTGTAATTTTACAAATATTTTTAGATTAGCTAAGTTTGTAAAATTACAATACTTTCATTGAATTTTACTTTTATTGAAACAATAAAAAAGAAAGATTTGATTTAATATCTGTTGTCATTTTATTGTTACGAAGCGCTGACTAGATTTTGTATCTCACGTAGACCTAATTTGTACAACTCAGATGATTTAAAGTGAAAATAATATATACCCTAACTAAGAACCGAACCCGAGCCGAGCGCTTGCCAGACCGATACCTAACGCCCTACGCCGTACGACCAATAGGACCGATAGGTGATTCAACATCTTATTATTCTTATAAGCTAATCCTATGTTGTGATTGAGCATTACGGCTTATTATTTATTATTTACATTATTTGTGTTATTTTATGCTGTTTATTGATGAAAAAGTTTAACATATACTCATTCAAATATATTGATTTCGAAATGATCGTTTGAGCATAATATTAGAATTTATAAAAGATAAATTATGCCTCGAATTTATTATTTCAAATAAACAACCATAGACTAAAAATTAGAAAAAATAAATATGAAGGGCGTTGTTGTTTTTTTATACATCAGTCTTATTTTTGTAAAATTGAAAAGTATTATTTTTAAAATTAGAAAACGGTGAAGTAGAATTACAATTCGTGTAATATAAATAAAATTTTCTGGTAACATTACATTGCACTGTGTAATTTTACAATGAAAATTGTAAAAATAAAAAAAAGCTTTTTAAATTTTTTATGAGATTATTGTAATATAAATTACAATATTTTTTTGTGATTTTACATACAATTATGCCGAATCAAATTACAAATAATGTTTGCAAAATTAAAAAGCTTTTTCTTGAAAATTGACCAACAGTTCTGTAATATTACAATGCGTGTTAGGTTTATACAAGAAGATTGTAAAATTACAATACATCTTAGTAGATTTCCTGACAGGTGTTGGAAAATTACATAAATTGTATTTTATTTCGCATTGCTATACACTGATTTGTAATTTTACATATCATTTGTTTTGTAATATGATTGTAATTTTACAAAAATTTTTAACAGTGCATATAAGTATATAACTTTATAAATTTTCTTAAAACAGTTCATACATCAGTTTAATTCATCAATCACCCCAAACTCCATGATTCTAGGTTTTACCAACAATCCCAAGCATTTAAGTTGGTCACGCGAGTATCAGTATCGAGAGACGTCATTAGCTGATCCTCCGTAAAGTGGTTGCGCCACCCCGCTACCCTCCAGGAAGCTAAATGGGTGTTTTACCTCTGGATCTAGATTCTAGATCCCCGAGGACCTAGCAGCAGAATCCTTAGCTTTACTGCTAGCTAAAAGTGAGTAAAAGGATTGAGAAGCTCGGGCTTGGTGTTGGTTGGAGATAAACCATGATGTCGTTGATTAATACGGTTTACCAGTAAGTGTAACGGAGTGTGCATAGTTGAATCCCTACCAGTTGTTTCTCCAAAGCAGAAGAAGGAGGTAAGGGAGTGAGTTGAGGGAGTCCTCAAGGGGTAGCTCGGAGATACTTGGAATTACTTGCAGTTGTAGTTGTAGTTCACCCTCTCCCCTCCCCTGGCCTGGCCACGTGCCGATCAATGGCGTCTTGGCTCTGATTGGCTGAGACTGCGACCAACCCCGACTACGAGCTAAGAGGATTCACACTTGCCAGATAAAGACAGCCGACTAACTTACAGGGTAGCTAGGAGAATCAAGCTTTTTTCTTCCCCGGAACATTGATTGCTGTCGAGCATCCTACCATCTTCTCCGTCCATCTTTTCTGCCCAAAAAAATAACTAAACAAAGGAAGAAAATAAAAGTTTAGATTTTTAGCGGCACGCGAATCCGATACTCGGTTTTAAACTACCCAAGGGTTTAATTGCTCTCTCAATTCCCGATTGGGGATCTAAGTCAGTTGCAATAAATATAAAAGTCAGGTTATGTATCACGAGAACAAGTTTTATTCCGACTTCTATAATGTCAGTTACAATTTCTAAATTTAAATCACTTAATTGTAATATTTATATTTTTATTTATATTATGTATACTTTTTTGTTACATTTTTTTCCCGTTTCTTTTGTAAATGCGGCCTTAAAATTAATCTTGCGGCTCTTTTTTAAGACAAAAAATTTTTTCAGTCATTCTTAGTATTATTGATGATTAAAATTTAATTTAATTTTGTTGAACTTAGATTGGAAATTTTTTTGTTGGTCGTAAACTAAAAATTTCATGTGAAAAGTTTACTTCATGCAAATACTTTGTTGCGAAACTGTTTCACACTATTCTTTTTCCGAACAAAGTTTTATTACTCAAGTTTTTTTTTTTACTAAAAACTTTTATGTGATTTAAAGAAAATTATACAATTAAGTTTTTTGACTTGACCTTAAGTTTCAAGTGTTTTTTTTTTAAATTATTTTGGTTTTAGTATAAGCTAGAAAATTTATGGTTTTGCCAGAAATCGGTTGATTTGATCATACATAGCCATATTAGACCGTATGTAATTGTAAAAAAGTAATTATAATTTTTTAAAGATTTATTGAACAAAATTTGATTCTACTAGAAATCAAATAGGCTCTTTAGAAGAAAAAAAGAATTTTTTTTATTTTATAACTTAAGATTTCAAAGTGAACTCTGTGGTAAGGAGAAGATTTAGCGACCATAGGCCATCTGTTAGAGGTTTTTGAAACTAATTTTTATCAAAATGATACATGACTATATTCAGCATAACTTGAACATGTTTGAACGTGTAAGACTAGGCAAAATTATATATTCTAAAGCCAATGTTCAAAATTTTGTAAAAAAATAATTATTTACACACAGAAAGAAGAATTTCTTGACTGGAGAACGAAATTCTTGGCTCAAGAAAATTTTCAGTCGTCTGAAGGAAGACCAAAGTTGTAAGTCGAAGTAAAAATTTTTCTTGAAATTCTATTCTTGGTGGTAATTTTTTCTTAATTCTATCATAAATACTTGATACAATAAATTTTTATATTTGATCAAGACTTTTAGATACTTTGAGGAAGCAGCGCCACCTATTTTAGCTGAGAAAAAAATTTTCTCACCTTAAGAAAATTTTTTTCTTGAATATTTGACACCCATTTTTTATTATTTTAGCGTGCAATTATACATATTGAATGAAAAAAAATGATGAAATATTATTTGATCTTCCCATTTGACATATTAATCAATAAAAATATTAATGAAAATTTACTTCTATTTTATATTTAATTTTTTGAAGCAAGAGAGAAATTTTCTCAAGACAAGAAAATTTACTTCTATCAAGAACTAAATTTTTGGAGCAAGAGGCTGAATTTTCTCAAAACAAGATTTTCGTGACTTAAATAAATTTTCTTGGATCAAGATAGAGAATTAATTTTGTTGGAATAAGTTAAATTTCTTGTCAAAAAAAATTTTTTTTTGTACTCAAGAAATTAATTAGCAAGAAAAATATTTTCTTGGCTCAAATAAACCTTTTTTTCTGTTTTTTTAGAAGAAAAAAAAATTATTTTTATTTTATTACTTAACTTATAAAAGTGAACTCTCTTCTAAGGAGAAGATTTAGCGACCATGCGCCATCTGTTGGAGGTTTTTGAAACTAATTTTAATAAAAATGCTACAGGCATAATTTAGACATGTTAAGACTTGTCAAAATTATATATTTTAAAGCCAATGTTCAAAATTTTGTACACAATTTAACTGTTTCAAATTTTACTTATGTTATATTGTGAAATATTTTTAAATTTACAAAGTTTGAAGTTAAAAATACTTTTGCAAAGTATCATATTGTCCTGAAGGGTTAAAAAATATTGAAAATTTTTTTGATACAAAAATACTTCTTATTATCCAATTTTCCAAAATTTATTCAATTATAAATAACTAATTAGTTAATAAAGAGTATTGATAAAAAAAAAAAAACCAAATAAACCGTAGAAAAATTTTAAATGCCGCATTTACAAAACAAACGGGATAAATTGAGTAGTCTAACATTAAAAACGGTTCATTCTTTGATTTCATTGAAAAAAACATCCATCTTTCTACATATTTATCTAAATAATTATTAATATATCAACTTGACAACAGTTTAGCCGTCAGACAGATTCAATCTCACTTCTACTAACACTAGAGTCCTAGTAAATTATAGTCCTAGTACATAGTACATAGTACATCATCAGGCACAGGCATTTGGTCCTGATTCTTCACCCTCTTGACAATCATCATCATCATAATCACCACCATCATCAATCATCATCAATGACGATGTTAGTTACCAAAATTAAAAACGACCAATTCAGTTCTGGATTCTAAGGATCTTCTTTGGTAGCAGGCTGGATTTGATGAACGACACTCGACAAGTGATGATGATGATGATCAGGTCGTCTAGACAGTCCCAGGAGCGGCGGAAGAAGAGGCAAGTGAAGAGGCAGCGGCAGCCCTCCAGGGAACCCGGCCAATCCGCCCAGCAAAGCCGTTGCTGTGCTGTGTTCTTGGGCTTTTCGCCGCAATTCCGCTAAACTGCTGCTCCGATGAAGATCACCGGACCCGGGCTTACAGCAGCCACAGAGAGACCCGGGCCAGCCTGATGGCGTTGTCCAGGACAGCATTTCTTGGAGGCTGCTGGGACGATGGTCGCTGGTGGTCCACAGAGACGGGGTCGCTGAGGTCAAGGATGTCGATGCCGTCGAACCGATTAGTTTGCTGCTTCCGAACAAAGGCGGCGAGAATTGGGCCGCCAGGTGCGGGGAGAAGAATAGTGATGTTGGAGGCTCCAGAGGCCTGAATCCTGCGGTAGAGCTGGAAATACAATTGTAATATTAGTATAATCTATATTATTAAGAGAATAAGAAAAATTTTGTTTTCAGGAGAGTCATATAATAAAATCGGATTTTTTAGTGAACTTTAGTGTCATTGCAAAGGTCTTGAATTTGTGCCATTTCAAGGTTTCATTTCATTCTCATCGATAGTCAATTATGCTGCATTCGAAAATGCTCTAATTTTAGATACATAATTAAGAAATGACCTTGCGTCTTGTGAAATATTGTCATTTTTAAAGATATAAGCTCATCCCGATGTTATACTCATCGAGACCTTTCATTTGAGTACCCACATGCATTTTGATATATTTTTCATATATTCATATACATATAAATATATAAAATATATAAAAAATTGATGTGGGTACTCAAATGAAAGCTCTTGATGAGTGTAACATCGGGATGAGCTTATATCTTTAAAAACGTCAATATTTAAGAAAGTACAGTTCACTAACAAATATCTTGTGGACTATAGACATTTTTAAAGATATAAGATCATCCCGATAATACACTCATCGATACCTTTCATTTGAGTACCCACATCAATTTTTCATATATTTTATAGATTCATATATTTCACAAATACCATATATATAAAATATATAAAAAATGCCATGTGGGTACTTAAATGAAAGGTTTCGATGAATGTAACATTAAAATGAGTTTATATCTTAAAAAATGTCAATAATTAAGAAATGACCTTTTATCTTGTGAAATATTGACACATCAATTTTTCATATATTTTATAGATTCATATATTTCACAAATACCATATATATAAAATATATAAAAAATGCCATGTGGGTACTTAAATGAAAGGTTTCGATGAATGTAACATTAAAATGAGTTTATATCTTAAAAAATGTCAATAATTAAGAAATGACCTTTTATCTTGTGAAATATTGACATTTTTAAAGATATAAGCTCATCCCGAGGTTACACTCATCGAGACCTTTTATTTGAGTACCCATATCAATTTTTTATATATTTGATATATTTATATATATGAGTATATGAAAAATATATGAAAATGCATGTGGGTACTCAAATGAAAGCTCTTGATGAGTGTAACATCGGCATGAGCTTATATCATTAAAAATGTCAATAGTTAAGAAAGTACAGTGCAATTTTACAAATATCTTGTGAACTATTGACATTCTTAAAGATATAAGCTCATCCCGATGTTACACTTATTGAGACCTTTCATTTTAGTACCCACATCAATTTTTCATATATTTTATATATTTATATATATGAATATATGAAAAATATATCAAAATGCATGTGGGTACTCAACTGAAAGCTCTTGATGAGTGTGACATCGGGATGAGCTTATATCTTTAAAAACGTCAATATTTAAGAAATTACACTGCAATTTAATAAAAGTCGTTATTTAATAAAGCAAAATTCTATTTTTTCTTTATTTTTAGTTCACAAGTCACGGTTGTCACATAGTGAGCTAGTTAACATTCATAATATATAAAATATTTATAAATTTTAGCAAAAATATCTTTAAACAAAAACACATTTATTGTAATGTCCCCAGTCGACTTCTCTAAAATTCTAACTGCACCTATTTAACCCTTTAATTCATCAATTGAAGTCTACTAGATCCCTCAAGTAGACTGAAGTTTCGACCACTATCCTTAACATGAGAAATGATAACAATAATAATATCATAAATACAACTGTTTAAAATTCGTTGTGAATCTCTCCTTTAAATATTGAAGTCTACATTAGCATTTGGCAACTTAGAATCGGGTCGCTTTTAGAAACAAAGCCACCGTAAAAAGTAAAACTCAGCAATATTTATTTATAAATTTAAAGATAAAGACGAGGAGCTTTGAGAAGTATTGGAAACAGCAAAAACAAAATAAGTAAAAGAGGAAAAGAAAAATACGATAACACCGAGACGTAGTTGGTCTTCGTATCTGTAATTTATTAAAAACAGTTCGCCGTAAATATATCTTCATCATTTATTCAAGCTAGCTCTATACCACTCCAGAAGCTCCTTGGTACCCGGACCCGGGAGGGTAAGCTCTGAATTTCTCGAGCACGAACCCGCTCCTTACCTTGCTCCCAAGACGTTCTCTCCACACACATACACACATACCATTTCTTACCCCGTTAGGTATCTCTTGCTTTTGCTACAGCTTTTTTATCCTACACCAGTACATGCACGCCCGCATTCGCATTTTCCTTTAAAATCTTCATCCTCATCCTCACCCTTCCAAGCCAAGGAAAAACTTAACAGCTTTACTGGATTATAAGTTCGCTGTAAAATATTACGACAACATGCCGGTTTTGAATTATCCAATTTTAGAATCCAGAGACGATAGCGTTATCAAACCAGTTTATGGTTAAACTCTTTATTTTTTTACTCTTAAGAGATAAAAAAAATTTCAATGTCTTTGTAAGACTAAGAAGATAATTATTGAATTATAATAGAGTTAAATTTTTACCTCCAAGTGTATTAAATATAGTTTTTAAGTCAAAGAAATGTCGAAGAGCCAAACTGGTTGATTATTCAACTACTGAATCAGCAAGTGGTCAGGTCGGAGGAAATATTGGCTATCGAATATTGAATATTAATATCGAAGATAGTTTGGAAAGTGAGAGGACGGTTGTGATTAGACGAAAGGTTGGTTGGAGTAAGCGCGATAATTAACGGCAATTAGTTGCGCAGAATCCCGTGCAGTGTGTATACGTTTGGGGAATTAGTTGGTTATGTTTCTCGTAAACTTTATGGATCTAACACCTACAGAGAAAATTGATCCTCAAATATGATATTTGTTTGTGTGAACTTGCGGTTGTAGTTTGCTATTCGTGTTCAAGAGCAGATAGCTTAACGGAGAGAAATTACAAGTAAATTCTTTTTTTTTAAGATATAAGCTCATCCTGATGTTACACTCATCAAGAGCTTTCATTTGAGTACCCACATGCATTTTTGATATATTTTTCATATACACATATATATAATATATATAAGTATATGAAATATATGAAAAATTGATGTGGGTACTCAAATGAAAGGTCTTGATGAGTGTAACATCGCGATGAGCTTATTTCTCTAAAAATGTCAATATTTCACAAGATAAAAGGTTATTTCTTAATTATTGACATTTTTCAAGATATAAACTCATTTTGATGTTACACTCATTGAGACCTTTCATTTGAGTACCCATATGGCATTTTTGATATGTTATATATATATGATATATGTGAAATATATAAATATATAAAATATATGAAAAATTGATGTGGGTACTCAAATGAAAAGTCTCGATGAGTGTAACATCGGGATGAGCTTATATCTTTAAAAATGTCAATATTTCACAAGATAAAAGGTCATTTCTTAATTATGTATTTAGAGATAGAGCATTTTTTAATGCATTCTAAATACTTGTCATAATAAATTTAATATTGGTGCCCTGAAAAGGCACAAATTCAAGTCAAGACCTTTGCAATGACACTAAATTTCACTAAAAAAACCGATTTTATTTCTTATTCTCTTAATAATATAGATTATCAATTTTATAAAACTAATTTAATTAGTGCCAAAAATATTAATTTTCTCACGCCTCTGACTACCAAAATTTCTAAAATAACCAATGTAATTAATCTCATCAGGATAATATCGCATCACAGAAGGTTGAAGAGGGGGTGAGAATCTAGGGTAAACTGTTAGACAAAGAAGACTAAAGTCTCTTGAAAAGCAGGGAAGGGAGAAGAGGCGCTGAGCGGAACTACGTAAAGAAGAAGGGACAGATAAGGTCTGGAGCTTAATGGCGCGTATCTAACTTCCGGTTCCACTGGCTCGGACACATATCGCTGGGGTAGTTTGTAATCTCAGTGATATTTCCTAAAGACGTAAATACGAACGCTAAAAGCTCACCTCGCAGTCGGGGTCCAGGACCTCCAGCTGCGAGCGCCATTTTACGAGCTGAGAATTCAGTCGCGACGAAATTCTCGACCGATTTACGACTCCGCTTGTTTATCACGGCCATTCATTTGAGAGCTCAAGAGTCAAGATTGAGGTAAAAAACAGAAACAAGCTCGGATTTACCTTTCCGTGGATGGGATCAGAGACCCGCTGACGGAACTGGAGAGTGGCGCCCTCATCGGCGTCGTCGGTGGCGTCGCTGAACTACCGAGCGAAGGCTGGCTCTGAGACTGCTGCGGCCGCGGGCTAACTGAGGCAGAAGTCGTACTGGGACTTCGAGAGCCCCCACCACAGTCTTGGCCAGGTTCCTCGTCGTTCGTCTCCATCGGGTCCCCGTGAGGACTCGTCGGACTTTGCCCGCTAGAAGAAGATGGCGGCAGACCCGCTTCTGGCGTTGCTCCTCCGCCACTCGCTCCAGTTCCGCCGCCAGGGGGCAGCACTCCGTCCCGCTTTCGCTGCTCTTCTTTCAGCCTTTCACTCTTACGCCATTTTGCCCGCCGGTTTTGGAACCAAACCTGTTAAAAGAATCAATTAAATTATTTTTATTAATTAAAAAATTTTTAAGTAAAAATTCGGCAACATTATTATTCTTAAGGTATAATTTATTATAATTTTTTAAACAAAAAAAAAATTTTTTTTATTTCATTACTTATAGTTTGAAAGTGAACTCTCTTGTAAGGAGAAAATTTAGCGACTATGCGCCACCTGTTGGGGGTTTTTCATACTAATTTTAATCAAAATGATACATCAGCATATTAATCAAATAATTAGGTTTGAAAATTGTAATTTTTACACGCTTTTTATTAGCTTCACTTGTATGTATGTTTGTATGTTTGTATGTTTGTAACCGACTTCTTTGGGCGCGATTTTGACCGACTTTAAACGGCCAGATTTCGTTCAAACTTTGTAGATTTATCGAGGACCGATGACAATACACTAATTTGATAAAATTATTCAATTTTTCAATTTGCAAAATATGATTTTTGTTAATTTATATAATTTTCATCTATAGTCGATAAGGTAAGAAACTTAATTTTAATTTTTTATAATTTTTCTCTACAGTCGATAAGACAGGACTTGATGTTAATTTTAATTTCCAATAATTATCTTTAGCCGATTTCTCTAATATTGACAAATTTTCGAATACTAAGGAGAATTTTAATTCTACAAAACAAATAATAGTTTTAAAAAATCACGCTTTTATAAATAAACCAAACTAAAAAGTAAAAAATAAATAATAGTTTAAAAAAACTAAAAACACGCTTTTTATAGAAAATCAAACTAAAAAATAGAAAATAAATTTTTATAAATTTAAATTAAGAATAGTGTTAAAAATTTCAATAAATATAAATTAATAATAGTGTAAATAAAAAAAAATGTATTTTATTTAAAAAAAAGCGTGGGGTGCATGGTGTCAATAGTTATAAATATTTTATTGACAGATATGAGTAGAGTGATTATCATTTTGATAATATCTTAAAAAGCACCCCACGCTTTTTTTAAAATAAAATACATTTTTTTTTATTTACACTATTATTAATTTATATTTATTGAAATTTTTAACACTATTCTTAATTTAAATTTATTAAAATGTTTTTAGTTTTTTTAAACTATTATTTTTTCTATCGAGCTTGATCTAAAAATTTAGCTGACAAATTTTTAAGCAAAAATCAGCGATATTATTATTCTTAAATTAAGTTAATTTTTTGTTAGTGCGAGGTTTGAATTTTTCTGAGTGACAAAGTAACCATCTATTGAAGTTGTAAGTGATAATTGGGACAGGTAGCAAGAGCTGGAAGGCTGATGGGACGCTGGTGCATGTTCAACGAGCCATGAACCAGCACCCAAGACCACTGGGTCCTGAGTGTTGTTCTAAAAGAGTCTGGATCTTGCTAACGAGTCTAACTTGACATAATGCCAGCTGTTGAAAAAAAAAAAAAAAAAAAATGTAGCGTAGGTGGATGGAAAAATAAATTACACACCTTTTCGAATTACTTTGGGCGTTAACATAATGATGACGAGGGAGTATCCAGGAATTAATTTAACATGATGTTGTGTTGATAAAAATCTACTTTTGCTTCCACATTTTGGGGATTTAACGGCGGAATGAGCAGCCCGTCGAGGTGGCTTTGGAACTTTTTGATCGTACCTGAGGGAGGGGTTGTTCGAGAAAATGGTTTAATAAAATAAATACGCGAAGGCAGACGTTCGGTGGTTGGAGGTTTTGAAACAAGGGAGCCAAAGAGTGAAGAAGGATGCTAGCTGATACTGGGTGCTGGTACTTCTGCTTGCTTCTGGTTGCTAGAGAGGGTGCCAGAGGGGGTCGGGAGTCGGAGCAGACGGGAGATATAATAATATCCTAAGGGTTCGCGGGGAGCGAGTAATAGCCAGGAACAAAGCCATGCTTCCCGTGAGAATACTCAAAGTCTCTCTGCATCCTTCAGTTCTCTATTTTTTTTCTGGCTCTATTTTTTTCAATATAAATTTAATCCCTTTTCGTGTATGTCAGTAGTCTGTTACTTTAAAACGAACAACTAAAGACATTTTCCCGAAAAGTAATCTTTAAAGTCTATTTTATTAGGGTGAGCGCTGCAATTCAGACAAACAGTTTTCCTTCGACGGAGCTCTTTGTTTTAGGGATTTAATTATCGGAATTAATGGGATTCGAATTTCGTTATATTTTGGCTTCTTCGTTTTATGTACTGAAAAAAAAGGTTTTTTCCGCCTTGAATACAAAATATTTTTGATCCAATATACGTTTCTTAATATAAAAAAACTAGGGTTTTTCGGGATGAGCTTATATCTTTAGAAACGTCTATAGACGTTATATATTTACGAAAGTACAGTGCAATTTAACTAATATCTTGTGAATTATTGACATTTTTAAGGATATGAGCTCATCCCGATGTTACACAGTTCGATACCTTTCATTTGAGTACCCACATCAATTTTTCATATATTTTTTATATTTATATATATATGAATATATGAAAATTATATCAAAATCCATGTGGGTACTCAAATGAAAGCTCTTGATGAGTGTAACATCGGGATGAGCTTATATCTTTAAAAAGGTCAATATTTAAGAAAGTACAGTGCAATTTAATAAATATCTTGTGAACTATTGACATTTTTAAGGATATGAGCTCATCCCGATGTTACACTTATCGAAACCTTTCATTTGAGTACCAACATCAATTTTTTATATATTTATATTATATATATGAATATATGAAAAATATATCAAAATGCATGTGGGTACTCAAATAAAAGGTCTTGATGAGTGTAACATTGGGATGAGCTTATATCTTTAAAAAGGTCAATATTTAAGAAAGTACAGTACAATTTAACAAAAGTCATTATTTAATAAAGCAAAAATTTTAATTTTGTATAGCTCACAAGTCACAGCAGTCACATAGTAACTGCATTTTTTTAAATACTATACTTTTTAGTGTAGAAAAAAATCTTTGGAATTCTTTACACAGGAATACCAGTTTCTTTACTGGAGGGAAAAATTTCCTGGGTGGAAAAAAACTTCAGACTGGCGCGAAAAAATTAACTACTAAGAGAAAAATTTTCCAGATAAAATTTCGTCCCATGCAATTTTGCGCCAAATACGCGGTCAAACGCAAATTTAAAGCCGTTTGTATCAACGATAAAAATTCAAAAGTATAACCAAAAGAAAAAACACAATTAGTAGTCGTTAATAAAAGACGGCTTAATTCCTGGAGCTTTACCAGATTAGCATAACGCAGGTGCTTTTCGTAAGAGATTTATGCGCAGAGATTGGCAAAGTGTTGAAGAATATACACATAATGTCGGTGGTTGCAGCAGAGAGGAGTGAGCGGGGCGAAAGAGGAGAGGAAGAACCAGAGTAAAGATTAAAAAAGTAAAAACGGGCTTGAGTATGACGCAATTACCGCGCAGACTCATTGTTTCATTAGCGGAGAACAAAGAGAATCTGAAATAATGAACAAATAGCCGCATTTATGCAGTACTTTTTACACTATATCTCAGTCTCAACGTAAGCGCACCACTCTTATGATGTATATAATAGCTCACACAAGTCTCGGTCATTCTCTGTCTTCTGCACGCCAATTAGGGGCTCCTGGGAGGCCCGACGACACACCAAGCACGTACACGCGTCAGTATAACGTCATCTACCCACACCTGACACTTAACTTTTTTCTCTAGCCCATTAACAATCATAAATTCATTTTCAGCGGAAAAAGTTATTTTCGTGCTTACCATGTTGTTATTAAACACGAGAATAGAAAAATTTTGTGTTTTTACGGAAGTACTTTCTGTAAAAAAATTTTACGATACGGCCACATACACAGAAAGAAAAATTTTCTTGACTTAAATAAATTTTCTTGAATCAAGATACGTATTTCTTAAAGCAAAAGAATTAATTTTGTTGGAATAAGTGAAATTTCTTGTTAAAAAAAAATTTGTTTTTCGCTCAAGAAAATAATTAGAAAGAAAAATATTTTCTTGGCTCAAATGAACCTTTTTTTCTGTCTTTTTGAAAGAAAAAAATAATTTTTTTTATTTTATTACTTAACTTATAAAAGTGAACTCTCTTCTAATGAGAAGATTTAGCGACCATGCGCCATCTGTTGGAGGTTTTTAAAACTAATTTTTAATAAAAATGCTACAGGCATAATTTAGACATGTTAAGACTTGTCAAAATTATATATTTTAAAGCCAATATTTTCCATCTAGAATACAAAATATTTTTATCCAAGTTTTTTTATATTCAATATACATTTCTTCACATAAAAAACTGGTATTTTTTGTTTGTTTACATTATGGAAAAGTTGTGCTGATTTATAATTTATTGAAAAATTACCTAGCTGTATTACAATCGATTTACGTAATTGAAAATTCAATTTTTTAACGATTTAATTAATAATTAACTAAATTTTTTTTTAATTGAATTATTATGATTAATTAAATTTTCTTAAATTTCATTATAATTAATTTAATTTTTTTTAAATTTAATTATAATTATTAAATTAATGTTAACAAACGAAAAATACTATTTTTTTATATTAAGAAACGTATATGGGATATAAAAAAAATTGGAAACAAATATTTTGTATTCTGGGTGGAAAATAATATTTTTTTCAGTGTAGTTCATCTAAAATTACTCATTTGATGTTAATCATGAATTGAATAACAACAGTAAATTTTAAAGAACATTTCTTTCCGTATATCATGTTTCTGGTTAGTGACATCCTTTCTTAATCTAACAGAAAAAAAACATGTTGGGGAACCAAAATAATCCGTCAGATTACCGGGAGCTCACCTCATCAAAAGATTACCGTCAGTTCTAGTGTCAGTTTACCCTGGAGGATCAACCAGCAAGTTTAGGGACGTCATGATTTATAATTTAAAATGATAATAAATAGTTAAACTAACCTGTACACGAGCCTCCGTTAAGTTTATCTTCATCGCCAGGTCCTCACGTGTGAACACGTCCGGATAGTGGGTCTGGGCGAACGCAGACTCCAGCTCTTCCAGCTGCTGGAGCGTGAAGGTTGTCCGGTTTCTTCTCTGCTTCCGTCGGACAAACGAATCCTCGCCCACGCCATGCAGTGCTGGGTGGTAGGCAGAGTAACTTGTGTCTGAAAAATAAAATATACAAACAGTTGCTTAAAAAAATTCAATTTGTTTGCGTTCAAAATAGAAATCAAGAAAACCTTACAAAGAAAACTTTTTTGTTTGGGATAACTTTAGGGTCAAACAAATTTTTCCGTGTTTCTTAGGATACACAGGAACCATAAATCCACATGGGATTCCAGAAATATATGTTTGAATCCAATTTACAACCCGGTGAATACGTTATCGCATTTCATCCAATTACAGGATCACGCTAATGTAGTATTTGCTGGATGCAATTATCATTTGCAACCCGGTAATGGATTGCTTATTAATTAGTACTGAAAACAATCAGTAAGTGGGTTTAAAAGTCTTTCTGAAACTGCGGAAAAACCGACGCTGAAAATATGTAACAAAGAAAACTTTTTTGTTTTGGAAAATTTTGAAGCCAAACAAACTCTCTTGACTTGTTTAAGGTCCAAAGTGACTAGAAATCCAGTTGCGAAAGCAGAAACAAATCTTTGAATGAAATTTATAAGGTAATTTGATTGAGCCTTTCAGAACGAAATGAAGTTAATTAGATATTTGTTTGATCTAACTCTCATTTGTGCTCCATTAATAGATTTCTAATTGCTCGGGCTTATAAACAATCAACTAGACGTGTGTGCAAGCGGGTGGGTGTCATATCATATATAAAGGCACATTAATGACGTTGGTCTTTGAATGCACCGTCACAAAGCGAGCTCTCTGGCTGGAGCGGGTTTTAGAGCAAATCTAGTCGAAAGGAACCTTGTGCAAGTAGTAATAAAGCTTATAATCACTTTATTAATGATGCAAAGCAATCAGCACAATTAATTACCGCGGCAGTAATCCTGGCCTCTCTCCGACTTACCGGATTAACATTAAAAATTTATTTTACGTGGTTAAGTTTTAAAATGCATTGAAAAAATAATGAACCGATTAAGGATTGGTTGATCAAAAAAGGTATCGATTGAAGTAAGGAGCACACTAAACAAATACGGAAAAAATAAGGAAAAGGAAAAGAGAGAGAGAGAGAGTGAGAGCGTAAATAAATGTATCCGGTCGTACGGAAGAGAAATCCACTCAAGATCTTAGATTAAAATTGGAAAAGTAAAGCCAGAAGCTAGACAACTCGTACAACTCATCCGTGCAGCTAAAGAGAGGGCAAAGTCCTCTACCTATCTCCACTCTACCGGTACAAATACAGATATATCTATATCTATATCAAGGGATCCAAGTTAGCTGGAGGACGGGAATGAGAAGTTGATCCAATTTATGAACCAGTGGAGGAGTTTGCGAGCTCGAAACCCATGAGCCGATATTCTTCATTTGATTTCAGCTCCTCAACCCCAAGATAGCTCTAGATTTTGTTACTCGATCTACCGCAGGTAAATAAAAATATATTTCCCATCTTGGTGGCTTTGCTGAGACATTAAAGATGGTATCCATGATAGTTTTATTTGGTAAGAGGAATAGAAGGTGCTTGCATCAATTTTTATTTGCCAAGCTTGTCACTTTTGCCAATACTTGACAATTCTCTAACCCAAACCAGAAATCCAATGAAAAATTAGGAAAACAGTTGACCCTCAAGGCCATCCCTGCAATTTCCCACTTATTCCATACTTAGGCGCTTAAAATTGAACCTATGACGTTTTTGAGCTCTTCGAACTCAAAAATACAATTTTTGTGTTATTTTGAGCTCTCCGAGCTCATAAAGATAGCTTTCCTATGATTTTGAGCTCTTCGAGCTCAAAAGTCTTATCAAAATTCGATGGAACACGATTAAAAAATAAATGAGCGTTATGAGGCGTGCACTTTTGGATTTTCACGATATCTCTCGAACGAATTAACCGATTTTGACCGGGCTGGCGGCGGTCGATGTGGTTTTTTGATGTTAAGAGCTGATTAATTTTTGGAATTGATCGGCAAAGCCATTTCAAAGTTATTTAAAAAAAACACATTTAAAAACATTTTTTTTCTGAGTTTTTTTGAGATTTCTCAAAATCTATCGGCCCGAAACGGTCCAAATTGCATTTAAAATCTAAGTTTGGTCAACTCCGTTTGAATGGCACTAACTGCGATGAAATCGGTCAAGCCGTTCAAAAGTTATAAACGGATCACATACTTTCACACCTTGCCGATTTTTGAAAATCTTCGATTTTCTTAGCGGTAAATTAAAAATGTTAAAAGTTCCAACAAAAACCTGAGCTTTTGAAAGGGATACGTGCTTTAAAACAAATAGATCCAACCCTTCACCAGACACCGATGACAAAGTACCCAAGCAGACAACCACTTCATCACCAGGATGGATCCTCCAATTACAACTTGATTTCAGAACTTCTGAACTTGATGACGTTTTTGACAAGGTTATTCAATTGAAGCTCCAGCAAGTCCTGGAAGTATAACTGGGGGTTGGGCGCCACTGGAAAAACTCGATGGAGAACTAAATCTAATGACACCTCGACCGTCACTAATGACCCTAACGAGGTAGTGAGATGTTAGGATCGTGTGTGTCTGTGTCTAGTCCGATCTGGATTGGTGTGTGCCCCGAATGAACCCACTTACCGACTTATCACGTAGTTACCTAATCTGTTTATCCCAACAGCATGTAGCCATCTTTGTCTGTCTGTCCTTCTCTCTCTCTCTCTCTGGTTCTTCGGATAGGAAGGGGACGTTAATGTAGGATACTGGCTGCTGGCTGGGGTTTGATGTTGATCACGCTCACTATGAAAGCTAAAGGGTGCTTGGTGATGTCCCTAGGGAGTTTACTTTTCTTCGCTGTCGAGTAGAGACTCGAGGACGAATATTGCTCAATAAGGCTTGCTCTATTGTGTTATCACGAACCTGGTCCAGTGTAACCAGAATCTAATGATCGGATCTAGTTAGAGTTTGCATTATTCGATGAAGGTTGCAAATAGAAACTTTTGGTTAGAACAGGATGATCGGTGATGGTTCCACTCGGGTGGAAAACCTAACTCGTTCAAAAGTCCTTTGCCTAACTGAAATAGCATCTCGAACTAGACTAGGAACTATCGACGTGTTCTACTAAAATCAACTTTAACTCTGTTTGCTGAGTTGTTTCTACTGGATGTTAGATCTAATGGAATCATTCTTTTAGGACATCGTATGTCATCATTTAACTACTTTCAATTTCAATTGCGTAACCAGTATTTGCGAAGGTACATTCGATGTAGTGTGTGCTGGATGTTATAATCGTATAATTCATCATCATAAGTACTGTTTCCTGCTATGATCAATAATTCAAGTGTAATAAGTAATAACGGTTGTGATGCTGACTAGCTGGGCCCCCCACGTTGATCATAGGCTTGCTAGTACCTACTACTTTACATCCTTTCACCCTCCAAGGGGTAATAGAATGAAAATTTTAAACCAACAGCAATAATTTTCAATTTTAAATTGAATTCAGTTAAGAACTGGGGATGTACTGTCGTTAAAAAAGCTTTTTGCAAAGGCTTTCGTTAAGAAAGCCTTTTGCAAAGGGTTTCATTTTTCAGGGAATTGGTTGAGGCAATTGGGGTGTAAAAAAGGTTTTTTGATTTGGATCGTGCTATAAGGAATGATTAATTATTGAGATTGTCTACTTACAAGGATGGGTAGGTGCAAAAGAATATTCCAATGTAGGCGGTAGTCTTGGTGCCGGCAGCCCCGGGGGACAGTGGTAGCAGAACATGCCCCCCGCTCTGGCGACACCAGGGGCCGCACTTGGGCCCCCCGTGGTTGCCCCTGAACCTGCCACTGGGTTTTGGGATCCCGGAGATGTCGATCGAACCTGCGTTCCTGGTTGGTGAATTGATCCAATCTGTAAATAGAATATTAGTGACATTAGTATTTACGGAATATAATTATAAATATTGGTGATCTATCATTGATGACCAATCATCAATGACCAACCATCAATCATCAATGACCAGTTATCAAATATCAATGACCAGTTATCAATGACCAATCATCAATTATCAATGACCAGTTATCAATGACCAATCGTCAATTATCAATGACCAATCATCAATTATCAATGACCAGTCATCAATCATCAATTACCAATGACCAGTTATCAATCATCAATTATCAATGATCAGTTATCAATTTTCAATGATCAATCATCAAATATCAATGATCAATTATCAGTGACCAATTATCGATTATCAATGACCAGTTATCAGTGACCAATTATCAGTAACTAATCATCAATTATCAATGACCAGTTATCAATTATCAATCATCAAATATCAATGACCAGTTATCAGTGACCAATCATTAATTATCAATTAACAGTTATCAATGATCGATCATCAATGACTAATCATCAATTTTCAATGACCAGTTATCAATGATCAATCATCAATTATCAATAACCAGTTATCAATAATCAATTATCAATTACCAATTATCAATTTTCAATAACCAATTATCAATCATCAATTATCAATGACCAGTTATCAATTATCAATGACCAACCATCAAATATCAATGACCGGTTATCAGTGACCAATCATCAATTATCAATGATCAGTTATCAGTGATCAATCATCAATGCCCAGTTATCAATTATCAATGACCAATCATCAATTTTCAACGACTAATTATCAATGATCAATTATCAATCATCAATCATCAATGACCAATCATCAATATCTAATCGTAAATCAAAAGTATAAGCCCGGAAATTTGATCTATACTCTTTGATCGACATGAGCTTGGAACCAGGAATGATGCTGTCAAACCTAGTTAAAGCTACTGGGGACCCGTCACTCTATTTGAAGCCACTCGCTCCTCGCGGATTGGATCAGATATAATCTTGGGGATTGTAAATTCATGCATTAATAATCCAGTTAAATTGAATAAGCTACCATACTTTAAATTAGTAATGAGTTGATTACTTTTAGTGTGCTTTAAAGATACTCGGCACTAATGCTAGCAAGGTTTATAGTTTATGTATACGTCGATATATACCTGCTCCTAATACATCTATGCCAGTGGATCTAGCACGGTAACTTTATGTGTATCTAAATGAGCATGTGTGTGTGTTTATATTCATCGTAGCACATCAGAACAGTATTAATGTGTAGTGGGTTTAGCAACATCTCTCTTGATTCAAATCTCCCTCTCACTTGTCGTCCCCGGATGAGTGTAGTATAGACGTATAACACTACAGAGGGACAAATTGAATTTTAGATCATGGCGTGCTTCGACGAGGCGTCCGGGGACGTACACCCAACCAACTCGAGAGCCCGAGATGATACTAATTGAAATTTGAAATTGATATTAGCGAATTATTATCATCCCCACGTCCCCCTCAACCTATGGGCATTTCTCTATACTGATACTAATACTGATACTAGCTCTGTTAGTCTGTGTAATACTGCGGATACTAGACAGTAGACAGCAGCTAGTATCAGAGAGATTCAACTCCTGTGTGTCCATCTCCTGGCATTCAAATTCAAGTGATAGCCCCCTTCCCCTTTTTCAGAAGCGCTATCTTTGGGAATTCAATTACACCGTGTCAGATATCAAAGTAATTGCTCTAGAAACTTAACGCAATAGTGTATTTTTAAAGCTCTTCTATTCCCTTAGTTATAATTATGAGTTGTGAGTTATGATAATAGTAATGATATTTCCGAGCTTTGTAACGAGGTTTTAATTATTCATCAAGACGGAGAAGATACGCTCGGGTGATTATGCATTTTAGGAAATTACATCCATTTTACATTTTAAAGTAATGTAGCTTCGTTTTGTAAGACTCCGGACGGGAATTGAGGTTAGGTTGAAGATTTACAAAAGTTTTTTTAATTAAATAATATTACAAATATGGATCTATATTATAGCGCACTTTTCAGGAGCAAAAGTAAAGATTTTGAATCCTTCGAGTTAACTTATGACTAAAATTCATAATATACTTCTACGAGATAACACTGTTACAAAGAAAACTGATTTCAAACAGCTTAAAAATACTCCGTAATCGATTACTCAAGATTTTATGTAAAATAACTGATTTAATGACATACGACGTTGATTTCTCAAAAATCAATGGGGTTGTAAACACTATAACTTTATAAAAATCCTATTTTTAACCTGTATTTTTCTTTCAATCCTTTCGTATGATCACTGCGGAGAACCCTTTTGAAAATCTTAGCTCAATATTATGTTGTTTAATTTATAATAAATATATTTCCTTCGGCAGTTAAACTCTACCTTCTACCCTTCGATCAGCCGGACTGTTTATTTTTTTAAGCATAAATTTATATAACGAGTGAGTACAGCTGAGATTATACTTGGGCTATTGGATTCTTTCCTGTTGTTGAAAATCACCAGAAGGTGGCGCGGTAGTATACTTCTACCAAAATGTACAGTTTCTCTCAAGCAGAAGCGGGCTATTCAAAACTAAACTTTAGAAACTATAAATTTAAAAAATTCTATTTTTTGTGTACTCAGACACCTCAAAAATTTTTTAACGTTAATAATAGCAATTATCTTATTTCTCAAAGGTGTTAATAAAACTCCAGCTAGATCTCTTTCAATTTTTCTACTAATTTAAAAATTTAAATATCATGTTGAAACTTATATTTCCTGCTATTGGCAAAAAATTTGGACAAAATTAAAAATTTATCCAAATTACCTAATCTTTTTTTATACAAAAATTTTCTCTATAAATTTCCTTAATGTCTAAAAATCTAAAAAAAAAAAAAACTAATTTATCCCTAATGTTATAAGAGTATTATTTACTTATTTATTCAGCAACTCCCCTATTCCCATAACTAAAATCCTATAACCCCCAGCGAAGGATTACAAGCCACAACGTATGACTACATCATCGTCATCATCGGCGGTCCCATTAATCGTGAGCTCGATTCAAAAGTTCCCCCCCCCCCTCCTTCGCCCCTTAATAAACCATATACCAGCCAACATACCAGTCTTTGGTCCTTAGCCCATCATACACAACAGAATCCATAGGGGTATTGAGCTTGGGTTCTGCGGACGGGGTTCCTTATTCATAGGCTGCCACTCAAGCGCCCCCCGGCGCGTCTGAGGTGGCGCCACTGAGCCTAGTTTGCTTTTTATCGCGGAACATACGCGTCGACAGAAGGGATGAAATGTACCGCAGCTAATCCCCTTTTCTTCGCCCTCCCCCGCTTCAAGCCCAGCCCTTGCTGGTTACATTTTGTTACAGTGTTTAATAGACAGTGCCAATCGGCATGTGGTCGCAGGACAATATTTGCACTGCTCGAGACCAATGGCCCATACTAGTTTGCTATACAACATCTAACATCTAACATATAACATATACTGTATATATACAGCTTTTATTCCTGTGTGTGATCATCCGATTGCGCTGAGGGGTTCAAGGGCCCTTAAATCCTTAAGGGGTGATTGGCCCTAGAGTGTTTACTTATCGACACTCTCCAACGAATAATAGACTTCTTCACATTTACAAGACAAACATTTTAATAGCTCGTATTATTTTTAGTTTTATCAGCCAAGCCGAATAGGCCAAGGCTATTGTTTTTTTAATTGATATTTTGCCCCAAGGGAGTTTTTTTTAATTATTCTCATTATTTTTAATCACCCAAACTACTAATTGCTGGGTTATAAAATTATAAATTGTCTATTACGGAAATTTATTAATTAGATTTTTATTTTTTAACTGTCTTAATAAAAAATTTATTTTTATCAACTATAAGATATTTTTAAATGGAGTCTTGTTTTTTTAAAGATAAAATTTGAAAAAATTTTATTTGAATTAAATTACCGCGATGATAAGCAATTACCATCATGTAAGAATGAAATTCTTTCATTATAAAAATATTTTTCTTCCTAATTATTTTTTTGAGCGAAAAAAAAATTTTTTTTTGACACAAGAAATTTCATTTATTCCAACAAAATCAATTATCTTGCTTGAAAATATATAATTATCACAAGTCTTAAAATGTCCAAATTATGCCTGAGATGACCGTGTACCATTTTGATTAAAATTAGTTTCAAAAACCTCCAACAGATGGCGCATAGTCGCTAAATCTTCTCCTTAGAAGAGAGTTCACTTTTATAAGTTAGGTAATAAAATACAAATAATTTTGTTTTCTTCTAAAAAAAACAGAAAAAAAGGTTTATTTGAGCCAATTAAATATTTTTCTTCCTAATTATTTTTTTGATCGAAAAAAAAATTTTTTTTGACAAGAAATTTAACTTATTCCAACAAAATTAATTCTCTTCTTCTAAAAAAAACAGAAAAAAAGGTTTATTTGAGCCAATTAAATATTTTTCTTCCTAATTATTTCTTTGATCGAAAAAAAAATTTTTTTTGACAAGAAATTTCACTCATTCCTACAAAATTAATTCTTTTGCTTTAAAATATATAATTTTGACAAGTCTTAACATGTCTAAATTATGCCTGTAGGATTTTGATTAAAATTAGTTTCAAAAGCCCCCAACAGATGGCGCATGGTCGCTAAATCTTCTCTTTAGAAGAGAGTTCACTTTTATAAGTTAAGTAATAAAATACAAATTATTTTTTTTTCTTCTAAAAAAACAGAAAAAAAGGTTTATTTGAGCCAAGAAAATATTTTTTTTCCTAATTATTTCCTTGAGCGAATATACGAATAAAGTCTCTATAGGATAAATATATAATATATTGTATCTTTGTTTTTCAAAATAAATAAATTAATTAAAAATTAAACGGAAACACTGTCTTTAAAAGAAATAATAAAAATTAGAATACGTTTAAATTTTGAAGAATAATGTCGCGCAATGCAGATGTGAGTGATGTATGATGTAAATTTAATTAAGCGTATTTTGGTATCGTTAATTCTGGAGACGTAGTTTGCTAAA